TATAATATAAGCACCCCTTCCTCCTCCCCCTGAAAAGCCAGAAATGCGCCCTCCATTTCCCATTCCCCAGGCTACTTATGTGAGCTGTAACATATATACATGTTAATGGTAGCCATATAGGTACCTCCATGCAAGAATAAAGGAGTTAATAATGCCAAATGCACTTGCAGTGGCCAATTTCGGGTTTTCTACCTATAATCACCTTGTTTTCCCCATGGGATGCCCAATTCTTCACCAATCCTCAAGAAAAAACATGTCCCAGAATCGGAACAATCTCCTCTTAAAATTCCGACACCTCCGAGACGACCAATGTGACACCTTAGATAACATAAAAATCGAACTGATTGCCACTTTTAAGGAGATCAAGGATATATATAATTAATCAGACAATGCAGAGACATTCTACTGACTACTTCTAAGTGTCCTCAAAAAGTTCTATTGTGATTGGGTCACTGTGGAAGGTAGAAGGTCTGAAATGAACCTCAAACAGACTGGTGAGGAGTGGTGATCACCATATTGCCTAGTTTGTCAAATGTGTTCACCCCGGAAATTGGAGGTAGTATCATTGCTCACAGGTCTGAGAGGGGTTTACAAACACCTGATAGTTACTATAATCTATAATCTATATTTTAAACACATTTTTACGAAATTTTAGAGCAAGGACTATACCTCCAATCTGAGGTAGAATCTTGGAGAGGGCAATTGAGAAGGCAGAAGGACAGTTGCATGAATAAAATATTCAGTTCTTATTCAACTTGCATCAGACTTTTTCTATATCACTCTAACAGTAGTATAGTAAGTATTCCAAGCTATCCAATGAGATTTGGGGCACTAGAGGATATGCTAGAAGGATGCCATGTCCACCATCAACATTGTGGGAATCCCCCGGGCAAGAAGAAGGAAGTGTCTTTGGTCATGGAATTGGGGTGTTTCTACACAGTCTTGAGGGCAGAAAAAGAAGGGAGGGTGCTAGGATAGTGTTCAGATTATGTTGGAGTGACAGGAATAACCCCAGCTTTGCTTGAAGGGATATAAGAGTGCACATTTTCGATTTTTCTGGTATCTTGTGAGGTGTTGTAGGTATATCTTTGGAACAAATGAACGCGTGGAGACGCTGAATAGCGCGTTTTGTAGCCTTTATTAACCTCTATCTGAACGCATAATGTTTTGGAAGGATAGATACATGTGTGGCATAGAGATTTGAGTGCGATTTTTCGGGTTTTTAGCACATAAACATTGAAAGGCCCATTGCATAACCAATAATGCATGCAAGGCCATTATTATTGGCTCGTTCTAAAGCTCTAGTAGCATACTAAATTATCGGCCAGTTTCTATGAGGCAGGGATGCATGACAGGCAGAGCATTAGGTGCGCATTTTCGCATTTTTGTGCATAGAAGCACAGTTTAGGCCATAACATCGCCAAAAATGGACGTATTCACACGTTCTGGGTGTCTACAGGTAGCTATGTGTTACCTAAAAATTATCGCGTCATCGTTCCCATTAATTTCCACCCAGGGGGAAGCCAAACGAGCCCGAAATGCGCCAGCAATGGCTATTTTGATGCCAGATCCCAATTTAGCAGCTTGTGCTAAAAATAAACGCGCGCCAAGTTAAGGTGACACCTCATATGCGCCGTTTCGCAACATTCCACATCCCAGATTCTCCTGATTTTTTATGACATACAGTAACATACTATCACATTGGCCCTGGGCACTTTTTTCATAAAAAACGGCCCCGGTTTAGGCTGCAGAGCAAACAGATCACATGACCAGTTCCCTGCAGTGCCCCGGGGTCCTGCTTGGCCTATCCTGCCCCCATTCTGCCCCCTCCTGCACCTCCCACCACCTGCCCACCCCGGAAATGGATGCTTACTAATTTATTTACCCCCTCCTCATCACCCTTGCAGATGCCGGGCACCCGGCAACCCCTCCCTCTTATTAGGAGAGCCTTCCCAAAGCGGAAGGTAGCATATTGCCCTCCAGGGCTTAGATTCATAGTTAGGAAACTGCCTTGTATTCTATATTTTTCTAGCTTACATGGCTGAATGATGGGCCACTCACAGCACAAAATTTTGATTCAAGGCTGTTGCCAGGAACACCGAAACATCCTGGCATCTTGTGGCTGGACTCTGACGAATGCTGGCCAGACGTTCGAGAATGTGGACGCTCTGAGGGTCCATCTCAGCAAGATAATGGTGGACAAGAAAGTCCAGGATGTGAGAGGCAACAGAGGCATGATCTTCCCTGTGAATGGCCAATTCCGTGTCGACAAGCAGGCTGGCTCTTGACTGTACATGATCCTGCCAGCACTCAACGAGCCAGATGACTTGCTCAGCATGAGGGATAAATCGCCCGTGTAGCCGGTTCTGCGTCTGAAAAATGACTACATCTTCATCCGTGGCAGGCTCTGGAGACAGGTGGAAATCAGCTGGTGGGGTAGGTGTGTTGGAAAGGGGGCTCAGCGAACACGTCAGATCTACAAAAGCAGGGGATGTGGCCCTCCGGCGCGTGCGAGTGCGTGGGTCCTCAGTTTCCTGTGTGCGCGAGCGACAACGAGAATGAATGGGCTGAAAGATTGAATTAGCCCCACATAGAAAAAAGGAGAAAGCCACATAGGTGTCTTACCGGAGAAGGAGAGCGTAATGCATCACCAAGATCAATGTCGCCTGAGGGATCCTACAGGATTGTTAGCTTGGATCGCCACGGTGTGAAAGAGAACCCCGACCCCACCTGCGGACACCAGTGATCCATGTAACAGTCCATCTCGTCCACAGCAGCACCATCGGCGAACGTCAAGCCCTTGAGGACGTACTTTGCATAGCAGCCATGATTCAGATCTGGCGCATACGTGAAACCTGGGTTGATTTCCTCTGTGTTAAGGGGACCACTGACAGGGCCATAGAGTGGTGCTGGGATGGGTGATGCTCAGTCAAGCGCTGAGCAGTGTGAGGTAAGAAGAATACCTAGATTGAGAAGGTGGTACTCCCGTTTACCGCTGAGAGGGTTGGGAAGTTTTTTGGCGGTGTTGAGCAATGTGTCGATAGAAATGGTGTTATTGTTGATGCCATTGTGGGGCTCAAGGTAATACATGCTGGTTTGCTTTCGCGGCCTAAGAAATTGCCAGTTCTGTTGGTAAAGCAGAGCGGCCACCTTGTCCTCGTCTTGACCAGGTTTGGCGGGTAAAACAAGGCTGTGGAGAAGGAGGTGGTCATTTATGACACCAGAGAACAGAGGAACCAAAGCGTCCTGGTCAGTTGTGGCAGGGACAGTAACTTCGAGGACCAAGTGGAACCTATCGAGCCAGTTGAGGATCTTGGGAAGGATATGCATATTGACCACCAGGTGCTTCCAGAGTCTTCCAAGGTGTATACTGACTTGTGGTCCTGCTGTTCAGTGGTCATTCAATCTGGACCTGCCGTCTATGATGAGAAGAGAACAACTCACAATGAAGGGGTAAATGGCAAGTAAAAATTTCTGGTCTGAGTTGGCGTTGTTGGTGGCTTTAGCGGCTGCCTTCGACAACGAAGAAGAAGCGGCCTGAGCAGGAGCAGGAGCCATGGAGCGTCGTGGATTAGGTGCCTGGTTGTTAGCCGCCATGCGCTGGTGACTTTGTTCGTGTGCTCCGTTGATGGTGGAGGGGCGGTCAGGGGCCATGAAATGAGGAATTGGCACAGACCCGACCTGAGACACAGGTGGCAGGTAGTTGGCTGGGTTCAAGCCTGGAGGACGCAAGGGAGCCGCCGCTGGAGCTGTGGCAGCAAGAGGATGTACAGGGACCGCAACAGGGCCAGATTCCACCATCTCTAGGATGCTGTGCTGCATCCAGGGGCGCCCGCACAGGCAGAGAGTATGAGGTGTCCAGTGAAGCTCCAACTATTGTCTTTGTTGAGACTTTTGGGGCCAGGGAAGGGAGACAGACAAGCATACTGAATGAAACCCTCCGCAGGGAGGGACTTTGTCCAATATTCCACCCTTTTGCATGGCATGACAGGGGTGGGTGCCTGGGAGGCCTGTCGACTCATGCAAGATCCAGGCATGGTTGCAGCACTGGCAGAGCTCGGTGGGGTTCGCGGGTATCTGATAGACATCAGAAACAAGGAGTGAGAAGTGTGAAACATTGCTCACCAATTCTCTAGGGGCAAGGGTTCAATGGTAGTTTTTGCAAGGGCAGCCCATGACAGAGCACCTGCCATGGGTGGTGAACGGTATGGCAGGCATTGTCAAGGAGAATCAAAGAGGAGAGTGGAGGGAACAGAACTGGGGAGAGACGCGATTTTCTGGGTTTGAAATGGCGTTGAAGACTCCGATGACAACCCACCATAAGCTCATGTCCTGATTCCAGATAGGTGAGAAGATTTCGAATAGGCGCCAGCCCATGAGGTCGCCCCGAGTCCAGTGTTTGTACTTTCCATTGCAGGATATGGTGTCAGACGCGGCTCATCCAAAAGGCGCACTTTTGGTTAGGGATTGGTGAAAATGTCAAAAGAATGATCAGATATTTATTTAGGTACGCGAAAAATGTATAGAGAAGCAGGGCAAAAGGTCTGGGCATGGTGAGGCGAATAATGTTCTTTACTGGGCCAACTACTTCGCATGTTTGTCCCATTCAAGTCCACATGGACAGCTGGCGTTGAAGCCTCCATGTTCCTGTCATGATGCTTGAGCATGAAGTCATGATGCACGAGGCGGAAGGAACTTACTGACCTGGATTTCACTGTAGGGTCTTGAGGAAAGAACCCATAACAACATGCGTCTTTGTCCTGGTCCTGAACCGGGATTTAGATGCATCTCAGTTGACAAATACTCGGGTACCTACAATGGAATGTGTGGGGTCGCTCAGGGACTGGGTTACCTGGGATTGGCACTGGCACTGGCAGTGGGGAGAGTGGTGGGAGGATGGCTGGGATGGCTGTGAGGAAGACATGAAAAGAGCGCGATTGGGGCATAGAAATGACTGAGACGCTCTTATCTATCAGCAATCATCAGGAACATGTTTTACTCTGTTTGATCTAGAATGATGGAAGAGAGGTGGAACGCACATGGGCGCTTGGATACATTAGAAAGAAATAGGAGTAATTAGGAGGGAGCTCCATATAAGGAAATGTTGGGAGCAATGCACCATTCGGAAGTGATGCTCAGACGTGTGAGTCCGAGATGGACAGCTGCCGGAACGAGTCATGTGGGCACCTTCACTTGGTATGATCGATTGCCTGAACAATCAGTCACACACAATTACATATTAACAGTCCAGTGACCCTGTGAGTCTTCCTGGGCCTGCCCTGAACCGTTTGTCTTGGTGGTGCCAGCTAGCCTGTTGAATGAGTTGGATAGGCTCTATTAGCGATACTAGTGGGTGTTAACAGGAGTCCTGCGGCTTAGACAACTAGAAAGTAGTAGACCACTTCAAAGCAAGACAAGAGAGATATGGAAACACTTGCCGTTACTCACCCCCAGCGAATGTCCTCCCCTGTCCTGCACTGTTTCCCGTGGATGTCTGGAAGCTTGGTATGGTTGGACGACATCGAGGGCCTGGTGCCCCCATCTAGCAAAATGAAGGTCAAGCTGACAAGCTGCAGAATGGACAATAAGGTCTCATGAGTTGTAGGATTTTGTTTGAAGCCTATGCCACTATGAGCACCAGGTGTTTTCCTTCTGCAGTCCAGCCAAGAGCTTGTATCGTCTGCAAGGGCTCTTAGGGATCGAATTCTCTGACATCCAGAGCACGTCTGCCAAAGAGACACCACGGTGGCTTTCCAATAACTCGCAGGACCATATGCGGATGTGTTCTCTTTTTTCAGGTTATCAGCTGGCAGAGCAGTACTTCATCAATATCACACTACCGTCCTGTGTTCCTCGATCTTCAGTTCAGCAGGACAAAGGGCTCAAGGTTTTGATTTTCTATCTTTACAGTGTCATAATCTGTCGCTGACTTATGGAGACTAGGGTTACGAACATCTGGAAAATTGGGTTGACATGCTCCTCGCTCTTTGCAACATCATTGAGCGCATCGATGATCCGAAGCTTTTGCACGCGAGGAGTGGGCCAGAACAGCTCATCAATCACATCCGCGATGCTCAGAGGAACATGAAATACTGCAAGGTGGTAATTAACATGCTCGTGGCAGCCTTGCACCTGGCCTTTCTCCAGAGCCACAGCTTTTCCGAGGGAGAGCTTCCGGACATCCCAGATAACCTAGACAGCTTGGACAAGATGTCTCCGTTTAAGCAACAATTTCTGGACCTTGTCGATAATCAAAAACACGGGTTGTCTCTTCGCTCCACACTCCATCTTGCGCTCCTTATATCGCCCCTCTACCTTTTGGTCTCAATCCAATTGATGAAGAATTCATTTTGCCGAGAGCGAGTGCTACAGGTACGAACACATGGTGTGGGATTGAGTGATTGGCTGAAAGTGCCGAAGTGCACCCATGCTTTAGGGAACATGAAGGGTTCAGTATTGCTCCAGTCGAAGGAGAGATCATGGTCACTGCCAAACGTTTGGCATCCTACGACTGCATTCTGCTTCAAGAACTCAAGGAACTCTTTGGTCAAAGAATCCTGTGGTATGACATGGAAAATTGCGACACAGAGACGCAAAAATTTTTCCAGCTCAGTAAGACATGTGTGCATGTTTCAAACGGAACTGTACTGACTGTGTCCTTAGGCTCAGGGGCAAACAGGCTGGGATACATCGAAGACCGTGCCAATCTGTCTGACATGACAGCATTGGTCACACCCAGAGCAGAGCATGAAGAAGCGAATCCGGCACAGCCAGAAGTCGCCATGACAGTCGTTCAGCTGCATAGGTCTGACCAGAACCAGAAATCGGTCTCAGTCAATACGCAGTCACACCCTGAGGTTGATACCAACAGCGAGTATGCAGACACTGATGCTGATACAGCAGACATCGACCTGGAATCGGACGTGAGCACCCTGCCCCCAAGAAGCAGAAGACCTCTGGCGCCCAAGTCACTCACATCGCTTGCCACGGTGGGAGCTGGACAAAATGACAACACGCCTGGAAAAAGTGCTTTAAACCCGATAGACATCGACACGAACCCGCCAGAGGTTGACATAGACTCTAACGTGAGCGAGATGGATGAGACTGGTGATATGGCTGGCCAGGACGACCGCAGCGTGACGCCTGGCTGTGATGCCCAAAACCCTATAGACGTTGACACGTGGATCAAGTGCAATCCAACAGAATGGAAAAATACTTCGGTAGGAGTGCTTGCTGCTGCAGTGCAATGAGATCTCACAGATAAAACGTAGCCTCGTGGGACTGTATCGACGCTCAATACGGCCTCAGGACATCTAGTAAACCTCGACCAATTGCCCCTGATGCGTGGGACTGATGTCTTTTTGGATTGTCTAGAAATTGGATGGAGGTCCATTTGAGGTCGGTGATGCATATGGAGAGGTGCACCAGCTGAAGCTAGGAATGCATGTATGTTGTCCTGTCCACCTCCGGGAGAGACAGACCAACTCAAAAATGGGAACAGTTCAAGTGTGACATAGAATTTCTGCAGAAGCTTTTTGCAATGATATCCCAAGGGTACATAAATGGCAAACCAAAGCACCTGTTGGCTCCAGATGGGTCTTCAATTGCCATTCTTGATTACAGTGCCTATCAGACCCTGTCTGGGCCGGCTTTCTTGGATGTTTTGCAACAGAAGGGTGTTGTGGTTGTCAAGGAATGGCCTTCAATAGGCCTTCAGTTCAATGCGGGTGGGCTGGCAACTCTGGAGACCCCTGCCTCATTTATTTTTGAAGGTAGCTGGTTTGGCATTTCAGAGAATCGAGAGTTTCTGATGTCAGTTACAAGATCAAAGTGTTATGGAGCATGTTCGGCAAAAGGACTATGAAGGAACACTGGAACACTTCCTGGAGGCATCACGGGACCCACTTGGAAGGATACTCAACTCAGGCAAGCTGCCCCTCAGTGAATCACCATCAGGGTCAATGTTTCAGCCATTCTCAAGCGACATGGCAGCTTGGAGAGCAACCAAGGGAGAGGTGGGGGCATGGACCCATACACCAATCCCGATCTCCTGTCTTCGCTGGGCTGAGGCGACGCTGAGCAGGTCGATTAACCTGTGGCATGTGTCTCGGGATGGGATGTGCACCTTCATGGATGTCCTGTGCAGGTCAGCATGGTGGATGTTAGGGTTGCCAGGGGTTAACAATGACATTGACACATACCTCCAGGAGGAGTTTTGAGCTGATAAGGCCAATGACACTATCTGGGAGGCAGAGTCGATCTTTCTCATGCCAAATTCACGAATGTAGGGCATGCTTTTGTGTGTTGACAGTTGCTGACCGCTGTTGGGTGCCTAGATTTCTGCGACCGAACATTCCTCATACGGTAATTACAACGTCCCATAGCATTTGCCATGGTGGTTATTTCTATTCAGCGACCACCCTACAAGAGATGTTCGCGGGATTGGTACATGCCTTTGTATGTGGCATCCGTATCAGTGAGGAGGGTTGAGGTGAGTCACGGATGTTGCTTCAGCGCATGATACAGGCCTGTCACCTACACATTGTGAATGGTAATGGATGTAAGTCTGTCAGCTACGGGTTCGAAGAGATGCTGACCACGGACAAAGCTTTCAGGTCCAGTCACGTCCCTTATTCCGAAACAGAGGATGGGCTGGTAGAACTCTTGACATTGTGCAACTTGAACATCATGGGGAATGTACTCGATCAGCGGACGTACAAAGTGCCAAATCAGAAAGAGGGCAAGCCAGTGTCCATATCGGCACACTACAGGTTGGAACAATATGACGTGAATGACATTGGTCTCGATGAGTGTAACCATATGCGGTTTTCCTGAGGGCTCACAATGGATGTTTTGCGACAGGTAAGGGCCAGTTGGGAGGTTACCTATGTTGATGAAAACAAGGAAGTGGATTTTCCAGCAATGTACTTGGCATTTCAAGCAAGAGGTATCGTGAACTACCAAGAGAAGGCAACTGAGTGCAGGATTTACAGTTCTCGCCACTGCACGACACATTCCTTAGGTCTTCAAATGAATAACACCCTGCTAGTGGACCCCGAAGCGCATCACATGTATAATGAAAATGTGTTGCCTGCAGGACTACCTGAAGATGGTTTCCTCCTGGCAGATTATCAGCAGCATTTTCTCTTCAAGTGCAAGGAGATACCTGGGAGAATCAAAGGTGCAGCGTCTGCTGATACAACAACTCTCAAATTTGATGCTGGACAGGGATACCGAATTTTCAAGTGGCTGGCACAACGGGCATGGACGGGCTGTATCTAAAGGGACGCACGGAATGAGCACAGGTGGAAATACTGGGCTGGTTTTACACACTCAATGGTTATCCATGACCAGAAGTCGCCAGTGAGAATGCAAAGAAACGGAAGAGGGTTAACTAGGTGTGTGGACTACCTGGTGCGTTTTTGGTGTCCCTACAGTGACTCGAGAACTGATAGTGGATAGGTTTACAGAATAAGAGGTGTACATTGAATTGATTCTGATCGTCTCTTTGTACATGAGATGAGATCGATAAATGAAGGTACTTGTGCGCTGAAGCGTGGTGATGGCTGTATCAGATGCAGGATTCTGCTGGCCAGGGGGAGTGTCTTCACGATTCGGATAGAGGTCTGATCAGAGAGTGTGTAAGTTGGCTCTCACCGGCCAGCGTGATTGCGGCCGTGATTCCGAATTGCAGATCGTTGGAAGTGGGGGAGGTAGTGGGCTGACGGGCGACAGGGATGGTGCCTCGCCAGCAAGAGTCGTGATTGCTGCATGTGGACAGGGCAGGCGGGACATGGGTTCATTGTGCGGCGAGGGAAAAGGGGGAGAGATGTAATGGCAACGCCGGCAGATGTGGTGGAGGATCGGGTCGGGGATAGTGGGGGTGCCTCATCAACTCGTTTCGTAACTGTTTAATGTTGATGGGGCACGAGTGCGACGCAATACGTGTTTGGGTGATAGCAGAGGGCTGGGCAGATGAGCAACAAGGGATAGCAGTTGGTGGCGCACTACTAGTGGAAGGTACAGGGAGTACGCACATTGTCGATGACTGTCTGGAACTCAGGACAAACATGTTTCGTGGAGATTATACATATGGAGAGATTAAGCTTCATTTAGCTTCATTTGGACAACAGGGTTTTGCCTTCTTCAAGGTGAACCTTAATTGCCTCCTTCTGTATCTTTCAGGTTCACAACAGCAGGTTCACAGTGGCAAGTATGGCTCGCAATACCCGTCAAGCTGGCCACAAGTCCATTTCCGCATCGTTCCCCCGCTCTTACACTAAGATGAGGGGCATTCCAACTCGGCCGAATTCCATTCCTATGTCAGGCCCCCTGTATGCCTGCTGCTACGCGAAAATCAAGGACATGAAGGGGCGGTGATGGAATGCATACACGGCCAAGCAAGCGATATACACTGTGTTGTGGGTGGTAGGGGTTTGAAGGGCGATTTGGGAAGTGGGTGACAAAAATATGTGTCGTGTCTTCGTCGTTTGTACGTGGTAAGAGGATTTGGTTCTTCGGTGTTCTTTGAGCAGTGGTGCCTAATCAGAGTGTCTGGAAGCTCTGTGCCAGGAAAGTCGGACACCTGCAAGATCCTCCACAACACAGGGCGAGTTTTCGATTCCAGGCTGCCCAGATCATACCTGGGCGGGATCCATGCCTTCAACAGCATGTGGAGGGTCAAGCCCACTTTCTGACCAGGCGTCCTGGAGAGGAGGATTCGCTGGATGTCCTTCACTTCTATAAGCTAGGTACATGTATCAAACCCTGTGTTTAGCCAGTGTGACCTCACATGTCCAGACTGTGTTTGAGCAGTCAGGTTTTCCGAGGCTGGTGGGGTGAGTTTGCCAGGGATGCCGGGGCCATAGGGATTTGTCTGGGGATGGGAGAGGGTAAATAAATGACCAAACAACCCTCCCGGGGGTGGGGCAGGGGTAGGGTAGGCCTGCAGGGGGTGGGAGGGGTGGGGAAAGCATGGGAAATCCATCCGAAACAGGCAGGGATGGTGGGGGATGCATGATAGGGGCTAGTGGGATGGCGGGGTGGGTTCTGGGTGTGGCAGGGGTCTAAAAATGGGTTGGGCGGGGCTAGATATGCATGCTAATAATTGTCATGGCCCCCACGGGGTGCGGGATGGGCTGGGAGAGCCAAAAACGCGAAAAATCCAGAGTCTTTTGCATTTTTAATACAAAAAAATTGAATATCAAATTGAAAACTTAATATTTTGGTGTGAAACTTTGCAGACCTTTGTACCTATAGTGGGGGTGCTTCATAGATATTTTGAGCATCTATTATGAATTATGAGGTGCGCCACACAGCCAGGAATAGTGTGCGCGGCGGGGTTTGATGTGCTTTGCCAAATTTGGCAATATTGTGATGCCTGCACATCCGTGCATAATTCCGGCTCCCCCTCGCATTATTTCGCTTAGCTTTGGCTGAGCGAAATGTTGAGTACATTGACACCTTCCTGTAGACCCTTCGATCGCGTGAAACGGGTGAGAACTCGTTGAGATATGGCGAACGCGATTTTGGCTACTACAATGCATGGTGCACCCATGCATCCTCAGGCGTGTTTAAGCCCATTTAAGTTGGTCAAAAATCATGGAATACATGTCTGAGAGTAATAGTACCATTGAGATAGTTCGT